CGCCGCGGGGGTCCGGTGGGGGTCGACCGCTGCCCTGCTATGGGGCCGTGGAGGCGGGAAGAGAGCGTTCACCAGTGCCAGCGGGCGCTGCCAGGAGCGAGGGGCGCGCTGGGCAGGCTGGCACCGCCTCCCTTTCTAGCCTACACTGCTCTTCCAACGGGTCCCCCGAGCCCTCTCCTGCCTAGGCCACCGGAACTTCCCTGTCCCAGTGATGCTGGGACCTACCTTTAACTCCTTTCTCCCCAGTGTGGGCCCAAGGCCGCTTGAAGCCGAGCAGCGTGGCCTCCCTTTCTCCAGCCTGTGCCGGGGCTCTCTCGGGAGCCTGAGACCGGGATGGGGTGAGTGTCCAAGCGAACAGCAGAGGGAGGCCAGAATCAGGTTTTAAGATCCGTAATTCCAGCACTCGGGAGCTGAGGCAGAGGGATTGGTGCGAGTTCGAGACCAGCCTGGGCTACAAAGTGAGCTCAAGGCCAGGCTGAACTGCATAGTAAGAGCTTGTCTCAAAAAGTCAAAAACAAGCAAAAAAAAAAAACAAAAAAACAAAAAAAAAACAACAACAAAACACCCTTTAATGTAAGATTGGTCTCTATCCTTGATTTAGAAAGAAAATAATTAAGGTCTGGACCCCACCTACAGGGTTTGCTAATACTTTTCAGCACCTTGGTTCCTGTGGCTCAGCGTCTTTCTGGCTTTGGGGCCCCAAACAAATCATCACTACACCTCTCTGAGCTTGTTTGCTTTCCTATAAAATGAGGTTGCTGATACTGTGGTGCCTATGTTAGTGGGGTTATTAACAGAAGAAAAGGGGCCAGGGAGTTAGCTCAGTAGAATAAGTGCTTGCCTGGCAAGCGCAGGGGCCTGAGTTCAATCACCGGTTCGGCAAAAAAAAAAAAAAAAAAAACAAAAAAAACAGGAGGAAGGCTTGCATAGGTCATGTGTCCCTGAAATAAGGCCACCTTGCTGTGTTCTAGTGGAGGACAACAGAACACGCCAGCCTTCTGGCCTTGGGGAAGGAAGAACTGTCAGGCAGGACCCACCAGTAGCATTGCTCCAGAACAGTTCCATCCTTGTCCCACCTGCCCTGGGGGATTAACAGCCTGTCATTCCAGGCACGAGCTTTGCAATCTTCAATCTGTTCCCTTCATTGTAAAATGAGGAGAAAGCAACCTTGTGTTGTGAGGCAGTGATGGAAATGTGACTTTTCTTTCTCTCCCTCTCCTTGATCTCACCTGTATTTAGTAGCCAGGAGAGCTTGGGTGAAAGAAACAGCAACCAGCTTGAACCAAGCAAGAGTTGAAGCCAGGTCTCAGATCTAGGCTT